GCCTCCTTGGTCTAATACTAGGTATTCTTCTTCTATTTCCATCACACCTTAGGAAAAATGGTATTAGAGTTCTTAGCAAACAGTAGCATATGTGAATTCTAAGTTTTCTGCCCATCCCTCAGTAAACTCATTGAAGGCAGAAATATGATCTTACTGGTTCCCTTCCCTGGTACCCAGAGGACAAATCATGAGTTAGACCTGGACCACTGCTACTTATTTTGTGTGTGTGGCACTAAACAAGTAGCTTAACATCAGTTTCCTCATCTGCAAAATGTAAATGATAATAATAACTTCATAAACTTGACATTAGACTCTTAATGCCTGATACATAGTAGAACTCATTATAGGTTAGCCATTATTATTAATGGCTAAGCGAATGAATCAGTCTGAAGTCTGATGTCACAGATACTCCTTCAAACCATTCTCACAAGGAGCATGAATGTGATATATGAACTCCAAATAAGACTTGTATAAAAAAGGACACTGAGAGTCTGGATAACATTAGGCATAAAATACAATATGTTCAATGCACCAAAATAGCTTTTATCTTCTATGAATTCCTGTAGAGGAATGGAACTAAAACATGAAAAATAACTGCCGTAAAGCACCATAGATCCTTTTGTTAATGTTTCACTGTCATTGAAAGATTTTAAAGTATGGATATCTCTCAAAAGTATTCTATTTTCAATAAGTTATAACAGGTCACCTTAAAAATATGTACAATAAACATTTCCACTTGGCTTTCTAAAATTTAGTATTCATAGTTCAATGAAGTGAGGATTATTATCTTTTTCCTGAAGAGGAAACTGAGAATATACAGAGTAATTAAGCGCCTAAAATAAGGCCTTGAATGTGGCAGATAATAAGTACTATTGAAAGAATGTGTGACTGACATTTCAGGTTATACAGCTAGCAAGTAGTGGAGCAGTGATTCAAATCTGGATCTATGACTCCAGAGCAGTTTGAGGCCATAAATATTTTTTCTTGCCAACTTACCCTCCCCCAGGGCTATTGAGGAATTGTAGAAATAGACTAAATTGGTGTTCTTCTAGAGTAATTTGGCAGTCAGTGCTGATCTTGGCAAACCTTTCTGCAGTTATTGCACAAATTTGCCAGTAAATATCAAGAGACGTATCTAAGGAATTGCATAAAGGCAAGCACTAAAAGTATGAAATGTATGTGTAGATTCATATGTGAAGATAAAGAAGGATCTGTATAATAATCAACACTTCAGGAATTCTGAGCTCCTTAGCCTGTCATTTGAAGCCCCCATAATGTAGGCCCTTAATGTTTTTCAAGTTTTCTCTTTCACAAATCCTTCTTCACATCCCCTTATACTTCTTCCTTGTTGCTTTCTACACCCTTCTCTATATTCTCCAGTCTCTATCTCTGTTCAACCTAGTCTATATCTAAAATTCATCCTCCATATCTACTTTTCAAATTACCATCTATCCTTCATAGAACTTAAAAGGACTCTCTACAATTTTTATATCTTTTAACCTCTCTGAATAGTCTGTCTTGAGGTCAGTGATTATGTTTTTTATTCCTGTATTATTACAAATAATAGGAATCAAATAATTCAAGAAAGAAGGAATGAATTGCAAACTTTTAGCAGGCTGGATTTGTATTCATCTTTTTATCCCCAAAGCAGCCTAGCTAGCCATTTGGGAGATAGGATGCTGTCATGTAAACATAGAATCAAATATAGTTTAGAAACTGAGTTCTATCTTTCTATGGCTGCATAACCTTGGGCAATTTCTTAACCTTTGTGAACCCTAATTTTGTGAATAAAATGACACTTCACAGGTAGACTCAAATAACGAGAATTAGTAATTCTTTGTATCTAGTTTCAGGATATACAGAGCTATTCCTTAAATGTTTATAGGTTTGAATTGAATCACCTTTTAGTATGACATGCTATAATTACATATTAAATAAAGTATATGATATAGGAATTCAGAGAAGTGGTGGTCTATAATAAATACAGATGGTAGGTCATGAGGTGGTCTAAAAGCTGTGCAGTATTTTGGATGGGAGAAGGATGAGAACAACATGAACATAGATTGAAGTGAGTATGGTGTGACGTTTTGACATGAGGGCAAGTTAGCCAGGCTCTACAGCAGAAGCCAAAATTTGGAGAATATTTGTGAAATAGATATACCTGTAAAAGGCCTTGAAACTTCAAGTAGGCTTTCCATTACTTACCACTTCCCACCCCAAATTCATTTAACATATATATATTGAACATTGACCCAGCCAGCTGTTTTAGCCTCGCTAGAGGCTAAACACATCCTTCATGTGGTCACACTGAGATTTTCAGTTTCCTGAACATGGTCATTTTTCTGCACTTAATATTTCAGCATCATTTGGCATAATTGTTCATGCCCTCCTAATTGAAAATTACCTTTGGCTCCCTTATACTAGACTTTCTTAGTTTTTCTCTTATCTCATTGACTATTTATTTACACTGACTCCTCTTCCTCTTCTTGATTTCAAATTATTGGAATGCTCCAGGGCTACATCTTCCCCTCTCTCCTTTTCTCTAACTAATCTGTATTCTTAGGTGATTTCTTTTGACCACAAAATCTAAATACTATCTATACTCTGTGACTCTTCTACTCCGAGATCTCTTACTTGACCTTCAACTCTTACATATAACTGTACACGATACTTCTTTTTGGATATCTAATAGATTATATCCCAAACCTTTCACTCTCAATTTCTCCACCCAGCCTGTCTTCACCCCAGTTTTCTTTGTTAAGTACAGTTCCATTCTACTTGCTCAGGCCAGAAACTTTGGGGTTGTTTTTTCTCTCACAGTCCTTCAGTAAGTTGTCTGGCTTCTACCTTCAAAATACTTCTGAACTGGATAACTCTTCACCATCTCTGCCTCTACCACCCCCATCCAATCCACTATCACTTCTTGCTAAGACTAGCCTCCTATCTGCTCATCCTGCCTTCATTCTTTTCTTACCATAACCAGAGCAGCTGGAATAATATTGTATAAATGTAAGTCCGATCTTGACCATTTACTTGTGTAAACCCTCCAATGGCTTTCCTTTGTAATTACTATAAATATCAAATTCTTTTCTGTGGTCTACAAGGACCTACATGATCAGACTTCTGCTATCTCTTTCTTATCATACCAGCCTCAATTTAAATGTCACTTCCTCAGAGATGATTTCCCCAACTATTCTGTTGAAGCACTTAGCATTCTCTAAAATTTCTTATCCATTTACTTTATTATTTATGTCCTTTATTAGAATGTAAGTTTCATGAAAGCAGGGACCATGTATTTCTTGTTTACCACTGTATCCCTAGCAACTAGAACAGTGTCATAAACATTTGGTAGGTACTCAGTAAATATATGTTAACAGAATGAATGGATGCTTTGTTCTTCCACATATTATTTCTTGTCTAAAAAGTGCTACCCATCTCTTTTCCCCAAACAAAACAAAAATGTCATCCCTTACAGGTGATAACTCTATAAGGTTCTACTTACTGTTCATATTTTAACTTACATATTTTTTCTCCTCTGACACTTTTCCCTTACCTCTTTCCCCTTTCATGAGAGAGAGTTAGGCATTTCCTTCTCAGTTTTCATTGTACTTTTTTTCAATTTCTTAATTGTACGTCTTACATCACACTATGGCTATTTATGTATCTGTCTACCTTTATTAGATTGTGAAGCTTTTCATGGATAGGAACTATGTATTATTTCAGTTGGTTTTCTTAACACTTGGAATAATGTGAAGGCATTGATTTAATGTTGATAAATAATTGAATCAAAATCAAAAACTTAAATCACATGGTAGTTTTCCAGAAGGCGACATTGCTGTATGTGATACAAAAATAAATAAGACTCTTGCCTTCTAGAAATTCACGATTTATTCATTATTCAATCAATATTTATCTGCTGTGTCCCAGATATTATGCTTAAGTGCTAAGGAGACAATGACAAAGGAACTACTTTGTGGGGTATCATTTCCTTTGATTTTGATCAATAGTATTTCATGCTGTATATTGGTGTTTGTCAGGTAATTTTAGTCTGTAATTAACCTGTGAACTCTATAGGAGACAATAGAGCAAACAGATTAACTGTACAATTCTAATCTTATGTTGCATGTATGTTTATCACATAGTTACAGATTGGCAAATGAGGCCAGAACCATATAGCACATCCAAAATATTTTCCTGATTCCATAGCATGGCATAATTACACTTGAGGCTGGCAGTACAGATTATTCATAAATAATGGTGATAGATTTTTATTTTCAATGCTGATAATGCTTCTTAGTATTATCATAAACAAATAGGAGCGTGACTTATGCTTCTTCAGACATGTGGCTAATTTTATTTACTCTTCGTGGTTTTGACACATTTCTAATATTTTGGAACTTTGGCATAGAGTTTAATGTTACTCTGAATTCTCCATTTTCTGAATTCTATATATTTCTTAGTCTTAAGTGAAAGCACAGTTATTTTGAAGGAATTTTGATATAGCAAGTAAAGTTCTATAGATTTCAGTATCTTCTGAATTTTGACTTAAACCATATTTCTATTATACAACATTCATGAGTATAAATAATAGTTTCATATTTTTCTTCTTTCAGAACAGCTATTTTACTTGGAATTGAATAAGAGCCTTTGAGTGTACATTTTTGTAACATACCCGGAATTTGATATAATTGACAAATCTGGTTCTCTTGGAAGAAATACATATACAGACAATAGCATATGACTTGTAGAAAATTCTTATGTATGCAAGTATTTAAAATTGAAGTTTAAAAACACCTTGGTAGAGAAGGAGTTAACAGGTTAGCTCCCCTTGGTTGTTCTCAGCATGCTCTTTTGCCTTTAGGAGCTGAAAAGATGATAACATTGGGCCCGGACATGCCTGTGTGGAGGTTATGGTACTCCTGGGGTTTTTGCAGCTAGCTGTAAAGCAAGCTAGAACTTGTTCATCTCAGAGTTTCTTGTTTTTCTTTCAACCCTTTCAGTGCCCTGCAGGAGTCATTAAATCAAAACTTCATGCTGATCATCACCCACCGAGAAGTCCAGCGGGAGTACAACCTGAACTTCTCCGGAAGCAGTACCATTCAAGAGGTGAGTTATGTCTCGCAGCTAAGGAATAAAGGTAGCTCATTATAGCTAATGTTGACCCTGTTAAAGAGGGCTTATCTGTTCTGGTTGGAAACTCTCTTTATGTTTCATTATTGGGTTCTTAATTTTAATTAACTGGAGCATCATGATTACTGTAGATATATTAAATGACTTGACCTAGAAAGACAGATGTTGTAAATGGGAACGCTTGATATTTCTTAAAATAGTCACTTTAAAACCCTGCTTCGAAATGTTCATTATTATGTAATATATTTCATGGTTTTATTGTAATTATTCAAAATATTAATTTGGAAACTGTTGACAGAATGCATTTTCGAACCCGCTTATATTTTATTTGAAAGGTTGCTCTCAAATATATTACTTATAATGTGTACCTTGCCTGTTTCCAAAAGGAATTTGAGGAGGCTTTTCTTAAGCAGCACAATTCCAGTCTTGGGCAGTATTTGTTAGATGCTCTTGGAAACCGTCAGTCATTTAGCTCAGAATATCTGAAAAGAGTCTATTTATAGGGTCAATATTTTTCTTCAACATGGCCAACCAGGGTCACTGTTTCAAAAAAGAACCTCCCCCAAGAGAGAAGAGGTACCTTCTTACCTGTGGCCCCACCTACCTAAAAGCTAGTAATTTATCTCCATGAGGGGAAATGTGTATATGATAGGACCTGTGTTTAGAAACACTGAAATGATGATTTTGTCACACTATTCCTTGTAAGTTGTGAAGACAGTCATTTGTTTTAATGTTTTTTAAAGAGAATTAATCATATTTAATCTTGGATTATTTCATAAATTTTCTTCTTGGACTAAATTGCTTAAAGTGATTACTCATGTCATATTGAAAGAACAAGTTGTTTTTCCCCTAATAATTTTGCAGAAGCATATGAATTGTTTCAGTAATGGCTAGACTATTAATTTTCTTTTGTCACGTTTTATCAATGAATTTCAGCTTCTGAATTTGGCATAAATAACTCATTGCTTGAAGTTTATTTTCTCTCTTTATCACTAGAATAGTTTATTGACTAGTAACTAAAATTTAAGAAAATTTTTTCGGCCCCTAATTTGAATCATAAATTTGAGTTATTTGATTTTTCCTCATGGTTTAAAGTATATTAATTGCCATTTCATTTTTAACCTCTATAATGGGTATTCTAGTCTCTGTATTTAGATTTTTAATTACTTGAAAAACCATTGTTGTTTTTACACAGAGTTATTCTGAGAATTTCATGATAGTAAAATTTAAATTATATATTGAATATAATTAAGGAAATTTAGTTTCAGAATAACTCTAGTTTAATCAAGAAAAGCACAGATGAGAGGTAAATTTCATTCTGTTAATTTATTTTTCTTAAATTAAAGACTAGTATAATACATGATGGTTAAATAGAGATTGTTTTATTTTTCTTTCTGATGGAATTTTTATTGCTAAAATTTTACTTTTTTTTTTTTTTAACATTTCCAGTTTTGTTGTTTGAGTGTTTCTACTTTCTCCCACAAGAGGGCAGAAAGGACTATTAAACTGATAGTCTAAAAATGCCATTCAGTGTTTTCAAATTAGCTTCTCTTATATTAACAAAAAGGAGCATAATGGCCAAGTTATTGTTTGATTTACAGATAATTGGCATATTGCAGGGAGGAGACTTAATTTCACCCTTTTAAATTAAACAGGGAGATTTAAAAAGACATAAAATATTCATTAATGTTCGGTGATTATAAAGTAGTGGCATATATTTATTTTGCCTTTATTACTGTTTCGATGGGAAAATACTGCAAATATTTCCGAAATCGAGTTGGCCATACTGACAAGTTGAAATGTTTAAGCAACGTTAATGCAATCTGCTCACACCTGATATCCTATGCAGAATGATTCAAAATGACTACATCAATTATTAAAAGAAATATTTAAAATTCTGTAAATGTGCCATTGTGCGCCACAGTTGGCTGAAACTGTTCTCCATGTCCTGCTATTTAGATTATCAAATATATTTTAAGATTCAAGGACTGGAAAACAGTAAATCTTTTTCATACCATTTTCTAAATGAAAAATATCCCAGAAATATTTTTCAAAGACAGATTCTCTTATATATTTCTTGGCAAGAGTTTGGTTTCTTATCCTGTTTCATTTTTTCTCTTTTTCCTTTTCTATGTTGATTTAAAATAATATTTTGAAATGCTACTTTCCATGAAAAATAAATGCAGTTGTTTCTAATATCAATTGCTTTTCTTTGAGTAGACAGGTAAAACACATAGGCTTTTTTATTCTGTACAAATTAGGAAAGAGACTTGGATTATATTCTCAAGGCCTAGGATTATACTCTGTAGACCTAGTCTTAAAACTTTCTTCTTCAACTGTGGAATACCTGAGAGGTGAGGGGTGTGGGTTTCAGGAAGACAAGATGCTATTATGCTACAGCCATGCAACAACCCACAGTGACACTTAAGTACCTGCATTTTTTGTTGAAAGTCAGTTTGCAACACAGTAAAAATATATTTTTGAAATGGTTCTACACTATTTTATAAATTCTAGAATTTTTGCTATAATACATAAGCTTAGTGATGCCATATATCCTAAATCGTAAATTAATTTCTATCACCAGTTTCAGAAATCTCTTTTCAGTGTTGTTTAAGAGGTTCAAGAATCAATATATGAAGGAAAGTAAGAAATTTAAAAAAAAAAAGCTGATTTTTTTTTTTTTGTCTCCAATATAGTAGTATATTTGTTGTAGGTGAAAAAAATATAAACTAATTTTTGGTAATTTTAATTTTTGAGAGCTGTATGGTTTTAAAAGAAAGCGTTTATAATATTTTCTCCCAAAGGGAAATTTCTGTTAAATGAAATAGGGTTGAAAAAGGCACTGTGATTTCAACTTTTAATTAAACAAAATACATTTTAAAATCTTGAATTAGAAAATAAAACTTAGATGCAGTTAGAATTTCAAATAAACCCTTCAGTGACCATATGTTCATGCAACTTAGTCGTGATAAACCGATAGTTGTACAAGTGTTTGTTCATTCTGGTCTGTGGTCTCTTGCTTCACAATACATGACTTATGTCCTTTGGATGCTCTAGATTTTAATTTAAGCTAGTTTGACATTGAGGGTTTTTTTTTAAAGCTCTTTACAAATCCTTCCACTTACATTATCTTCCTATTTGAGGAAAAGACAGTGATAGTATAAAAAAGTCAGAATGGAGAGTTGCAAGTTGTCATAAGAATATCCTTTCCCTTTTTCCATTATGTTAAATAGTTTGTATAATATATCAAATAATATAACAATAACTTCGTGACAATTGTTCTGTGCTTTTGGGTCCTAAATTTGTTACTTATCACATTTGAAAGTAGTGAATTTCCTTGAAAATTTAAACAAGCTTACCTTATTTTAATGAATTTTCCACACTGAGAATTCAGATTTTTTAAACAGTTAATTGTACAGATTCTAGTGATTCTAAGACTGTTAAAGATATGTGGTTACAAATACCCTTGGGATTGGTTAAATTAAGGGGAAAAAATTGATTTGCCTACTGTAAATCCTAAACCCAGGTGTGGAAAAGGATATAAAGTCCCTGAAATCAAGCCAACTTTTCTTGGAAATGAATTCTTTGTTGTCCATCTTACTATTGCAAAGCTTCTATTGGGCAAAATATCCACTTTTCTTTGTAAATGTCATACAAACTTAAGGATGTCATACATACATGACTTAAAATAACAATGATATAAGAAACATAAGTATTTTTGGTGTGGAATCATCTATTATAATAAGAAACACAATGAATAGCTATTAGAATTATTTAAATCCTCTTCCAAATTTCACTTTACCCTAGAATTCTCACTGTTTTATTAATGTTGATTTTGTTCTTAATGGGAATAAAGGAAAAATTGACAACCTATAAAGATATATCTCGCATGGAATAGTAAAACATTTCATTACTAATACTAGTGATTGTCAAGTGGGAAGCCAACAGTTTGAATTAGCAATAAGAAGAGAACTAAATACACAAATTATATTAGTCCTTAAAAATAATCTTGGCTAAATAATTATGAAATCATGAGGCTAATTCTGATTCCTGCAAATTTGAAGCTATTGTTGGGTTTTGTGTCTTTTTCTACTTGGACTTTCTCAACTTGCTTTACTAAAGTATATTTCAAACTATTCTTTAGTGTTGGAGGTCATTAACAGTAATTAAATATGTAGTCTTTTACTGATTGTACTAATGGGCAATTTTCTAGTAGTGAGTTGACTCTAACTTCTTAACTAACGTGCCCTTTCTGTAAATGTTTTAAGTACAGTGGTTTTTTTGTTTGTTTGTTTTTTGGTTTGTTTGTTTTCCAGTGTGGATAGGGTGGGAGGTGGGTGCTGGCATAGAACTGAAGAGCAGGTTAACTGAGAATATGCATATGCAAGAGGGTAAATTAAATTGTGTGCTTATTTAATTAAAAGTTTAAGTAGTTTCTTTTTACTGCAAGATAAATGGCATATATAAGCTCAATTAGAATGAACCTATTTTAATTTTAATTAGCATATATCATAGTTTGATTTTTAAAAATTTGAAATCACAAAATGACATTTTAGCAAAAATTAAAGATATATCTTAAGTAACCGGGCAGTGAATTCAAGCCTTTATTCAGCTTTCAGAAAAGGAGATTATGAGTTTCTTTCAAAAATGCATGTATGTTATTAGTTTCAAGTTGCATTTTATAACTTTGATCTGTTGAAGTCATGTCATTTCAAATGGACAAATCAGTAATGATCATTTTATGAATATTGAGGTTTTTCTGTGATTCTTAATAAATAATCCCCTTAGGAAATAAGTTTAAGTAATATTTACAATGCAGCCATTTGGAACTGACAAGTCTTTTTCTCCTTCTGAACGTATTTTAGAATAACCTCTACTGGAAATTATTTTTAACCCATGGAAGTATTCTTACCTACATTTCAAGAAGATAGAAACAATGAAATTTTGTTAAGAGTTAGGATAATGCTTTAGTCCTT